AAGAAAGCCCCCCGCCCCCCCCCCCCCCCGCTTGTTTTGCAGGGGTACCACGGCCTGCACAGTGTTAAGGGGGCCCCACACAGGCTGTTTTGTCCCAGGCCCCACATTCCCCTAGGGTCGGCTCTGTCCCCCACCACACCTCCCCCCACACACATCCCCCCCCACATACAATATACAAGAGTAAGAGTTTATTTTGAGCTACAGTAAAATCCCTGTTATCTGGCACGAGTGGGAAACAGGGTGCCAGTAACCTAAAAATGCCAGTTACCTGAAGCACAGGGGTTTTGGCCAGACACGAAGCCAGGGTGGGTGGGGGTGGCAGTGGCCACATGTGGAGCATTGGCAGCTGTGGGGTAGCAAAGCAGCACTTAGTGCAGTGGAGCAGTGGCAGTGCAAGGCAGGCCACGTGGAACAAGGGCAGCCCCATACAAGCTTCTGCCCCCCCACAACCCTCCCCGGCTGGCAGAAGAAGGGGAGGGGGGTGTGGCGGCGCCTGCACACACAGCAGCAGCACCCACCACGCGCAAGCTTTCCGCTGCATCCAGCCAGCCAGAAATTCTGGTTAACAGAGTATTCCGGATAGTTAAATGCTGGATAGCAGAGATTTTACTCTATTGTGCAATCACCTCTATATATACTATGCAAACACACATATATTAGGACAATTTTTTTTTAAATAACATTAAAATATGTCATAGTAGATTTAGACTTTTAATGTACGATTTGATTTTTTTCTTCCAAGATGGCAAACCCCCCTCCCAAAAGGAGTACTTCTGGGGACAAGGGGAAAGACTTTCAGTAGCAAAGGTCAGGGGCTAGGGATGTGACTTCCTGTCCCAAGATGGTGATCAGGGGGCAGGGCACCTGTCAAGGGGCAGGGCTACACTTGTGGCCCTTGACAGCTCACTAAAACTTTTTAAGTGGCCCTCCAGCCAAAATAATTGCCCACCCCTGCACTAAAGAAATATGCATTTGTGGGGGAGGTGGTAGGCTACAGTGTGGACAAATATTCTTGAATAACATTGTAAAGAAACTCTCTTTTTTTTTTCTCCACATGTAGACCTCTGTATTTATTACCTGAAGATACAAATAATCTGCTGCATAGTTCTGTCCTGCTGAGGTAATACGAGATAACATTTAAAGTAAGCAAAGTGTAGAATTCAGAGTCTGCCAAGAATGAGTGAAGTTTAGTTAATCATATAAAACAATTAAGTGAAACTCTGATGCTACTTTAGGAAAAAAAATTAGGATGGAGAAGAAGAGTGCCTGTTCTTACAGAAGGTGGTATGGTCGTGTCATTGGTGCTTGGATTTCTCTCTCTCTCTCTGGAGATGATAGCCATCAAAAATGCTATCTTAGTTAGCAATTTAAAAGAATACAATAGAATGGCAACATTCAAGTCCCCAGGACAGAAAAAAATCCCTAAAAGATAAAAAAACGTGTTGCACCTTCAAAAGTGCTTACTGTAGAATTTAAAAAATCATATGGAGGATTGTCAGGCAGATTTGTTCCTAGGTGAACCTTCACAGAACTATCTGAGGGACCTGAATGTTCAGTGATAAACAGGTAATCCAGGCTAACAAGAATAGATGCATTTTCATGGTGAATATTATGGCAAAATGCCCTTGCTAAAACCAGTTTCTACTTAGTCCTGTATATTGTTGTAGGTTTCCAGCTTAGAATGAAAATGTCCTGTATCACAGAACAATATCTATCTCTCAGGCTCAGCCAGCCACTATCCAAGCTGTGAAATGCAGAAATGCTGGAATCATATAAGGAAACAGACCTTGATCCTCCAATTCAACATCCAGAATGTCTGGGAGCTTGAAAAATTGCTAAATAGGTAGGTGTACTGCCTCTGTGTATTAAACCATCACATCCATGCCAGATTTTCTTCCTAAAGAAACTCAGTATTAGAGGGACTGTGAGTAAAAGCCAGTCTGAATTCCTAGAAACTGTACAACTACTAGTTTGATCTGATGCTGAACACATCATTCCAATTCCCCTTAAAGGACAGGAGGGGAACTGCTCCTTCTTGTTCATTTAAGTAGTGTGTTGCTGTCAAAACTGTAGTACTGAAATTGTTGCTAAAGGTACTGGACATAGTAAAATCACAACTGGAAGCCTGGATTCCAGTATCAAGGGAGATATTGAAGCTATTGACAAAGGTAAAAATCAAACAGAGGAGATTCCAGCCCTGACGTTACTGTTGTCTCCAGATACGTTGGAAGTAGCTGGTGCCAAAAGAATCAGTACTGGATTAGAAACTGTTACTATAATTGCCTCCCCATCATGGCGTGGTATCTGAAGAACTGAGTAACATAGAACATGGTGCCCCAGTCACTAGTAAAAGTGTCTCAACTGAATTGGAACAGTGCTGAATAGCTAGCCTGATGGTCAGATTTGGTGTAGGCAGATTTATTGTAGCCAGCTGGTAAGATTTGGATGCTGGAGCCTGAAACTGACCTGTATGAGTAGTGAATTTTCACTTTCTTTTGAGCTGGGACCAGGGATGGTGATCAAACTGTCAGGTCAGTTTCAGAGCCCTTCTCTTTTCTCCAAGTAGGAGTCACTGGCTGGTCCAAAGGACCTTTGATGAGGTGGCTAGCTCTTTTTGAATCTGAAAAGAGCTAACCTCTGGAAATGAAACTGCAAGTACCTGGGAAACTAGCTGAATGCTATTTTGAAGAAACAAGAGCTTTTCACAAAAGGGTTTGGGATCAGATCTTCCCTTCATAGCACACTAACAAAAAAAATAAACAAGCAACTCCAGCTTTCTGAGTGCACCTCAAAGAACATTTTCATATTAATCATTTTTTATCTACCTGCCCCTTTCCTTAGCTGAGACACACGGATCATTCAGGATAAAAACAGACAACCAGCAAACTCAAGACTTTACAGATGGACAAGTCTACTGTTTCACATTAAGTACCTGTGAATTACTCAAATTAACACTTTGCTTCAAACAATCGTAACAATCAGGTCTAATTCAACTTAACTGACATTTAATCCTAGTGTGTAAACAGCTATGGTGTTTTGGTGCAAGTCATATCCCAGCCTAATCAGGGCCCTAATTAAACCAGTTGTCTGTTTTTAGCCTTAAAGGTATGGCTGCTTCACAAGCTGGAAAAGTCTTAAAGCCTGGAGACAAAGCCTCCATCACAGAGGTGATCTAGTCACTGATAACTCAGTACTGAGACAAACTTTCTGAAGGACTAATGAGTTTCTCTTTTCCCCATTTTTTCCTGACAGTGGATTTAACAGATTACTACAAAGACTACCAGGAAACTAGTATTAAGAATAATAGCAAAGGTAATTGTAAGGTAGCAGTGGACCAAGGGGTGGGTCCCCTAAGAAGGAACTGAGTGGTACCTGGGGATCCTTTACATTTTAAGACCTCAGAGGGTTCATAAGCATCCAAATGCTTAGGGATGATCTTGCCTTGAGCAGGCGGCTGGACTACATGATCTTGTTAGGTCACTTCCAGCCCTACTTCCCTATGATCATATGAAATGGAGACCACTGACCAATAAATCCAATCTCATGCATGTGGGGAAGCATCTTATTTAAGCCAGAAGCTGGCAACATTTTGTAGCATAGGCCACTTCCCACCTGGCCTGCTCTGCTATAACCACCACTGGCACCTGCTCCCAACCAACCCCCAGCTCTGCTTAGCCACTGAACAGGCAAAGCCTCCCCAGCTTCATCGGCCAGATCCAATTCATGGGGCATAGGATGGTAAGTCCTCGTGTAGACCAATACTCAAAGAAAAAGAAAGAAGAGTCAGGAACTAGGGGCTTCTTTATACAGTGAAGGGTGTGGAGTACTTCATATGCTCAATTCATGCTCTTTTTTACCACATGGATCAGGAGGCAGTGCTACAAGTCTCACAAGTTTCAGATTGCCTGTTTGTTCTCATCACCATCCAACAGCTCCACTGTCTCTGCTCTGAAGAGGCAAATGGAAATGGGATTTACTGAACTCACCAAGTACAGAGCTGCTGTAGAAGTCCCATGCTGTTTGAGGGTCCCCATCAGTGCGACCTTGGAGATCTGAGAGGTAATCTGAAGGGAAAACAGTATAAGGCATCTCACACAGACCAGCTAGAACACAATACTATCACAGAATCATAGAAAAGTAGGGCTGGAAGGGACCTGAGGAAGTCACTTAGTCCAACTGCCTGCACAAGGCAGAATCATCCCTGTCTCAACCATCTTAGACACATTTGTATCTAACCTGCCCTTAACAACTTCCAAGGAGGGAGATTCCCACAACTGCTCTAGGTCATGGGTGTCAAACATATGGCTCACAAGCCGGTTCTGGCCAACAAAGCTTCTCCACCTGACCCCCAGGCTATAGGCAAGCTAGGGAATTTGTAGGTGTGGCCAGGAGAGGGCAGGGCTTGCCATGGAATCTGAGGCTCCAGGGCTGTGGGACAGCCCTTGGCAGCAAGCTAGGGCTGTAAACCTTCACGCTGCGGCTGTCTGTCACATGGCCACTTGCCCTGCTGCCCCTGCCACTTGTGCTGCTTCTGCCTCGTCATGTGACCACTTGCCTTACTGCTGGTGGCCCGGATGCAGACACCACTTGGTCGTGCACCACTTGCTGCAGACACTACTGTTGGTGGCCTTGCTGCAGACACCACTTGATCTGACTGAAGACATGGGGTGAGTTTGTAGACAACAGTCATCACAGCAGTGATTCCAAGCACACTTGAGAGTTTAGCTAAGGCCAGAGGTACACACAGGCACAGCTCAGCTGGCACCTTCCAGAACCAGAGGATTCTAAGAAGTACCTCATCAACTTGAATTAAGAAGGGGAAAAAACTAGTAAAAAGCAGCTGGAGGCAACACCTGTTCTATCCCTTTATAGTCACCCTTCCTAACTGTTTTTCTCCCTTGCTGCTGCACAAGACCCACAAAAATTAGGGAAAAAGTGATGCTGAATCTACCAGATGGTGCACATACCAAACACAGTTCAATCCAATCTTTCAGCTACTGCATTCTGAAGCATTACTCCTAATAATGGCAGGTAAGCAAGTTTTCAGATAAAATGATTTTAGAGTTGACAGCATCTCCTCTCAGCTGCAACTGTTAATGGGGTGCATTTGGTAGCCGTGTTGGTCTGAGACAAAAAGAAATGCAAAACTCTAAAACTCTTGGTTCAGAGATGATACCTTTTATTAGCCCAACTAAGAAATCACAAAAGATTTTTTTTTGTGATTTCTTAGTTGGTCTAATAAAACTCTGAATCAAGGGTTTTAGAGTTTTGCATTTCTTCACAGTGTTAATGGAGCATTTGGGCTGCATATTAGAGCCAAGCTTTGCCAGCATTTGGGCTGAATACACATTGGCTTGGCCCCCTGGGAGTCTGCATTATACTGTCTTTAGTTACATGTTCTCAGTTTTTCATAGATGTCCCTGGATTGTGTACCTAAAACTGGAAAAGGAATTCTATACAGTAGAACTGGGATACACTGCTCATTTAGATAAGGGTTTGCAATCTGTCTGGGGGTTTATAGAGCTGCAGCAAACAGCAGTGTGGGACCATGGCAGAGGTCCAGCTGAGCAGAGAAGAAGCGTCTTTAGAGGTAAAAGTCACAGCCAGCAGCAGTAGGGTAAGTCCTTAATTTGGCAAACTGATGTGAATTAAGCGGGTTGCGAATCACTGGAGATGAATGATCTGGGTTCTACTGCACTATATGTAATTATATGCTGTTTTCCAAGTCATTCAGTGATTAAAGCCTGGATTGTAAAGCCATGGGCACCACGGACAGAGTTATACTTGCCCATTTCATCAGTGTGCTGGCATTTCCTGACTCTTAATGCCTAACTGTGGCCCTGAATATAGATGTGAGTTTTTATATTTGACACCACCTGCTTGAAAAATATTTAATCTCTGGAAGCGGGGAGGGGAGGGGAGGTGAGTGATCTCAGTGTTAGTCTTTAGGATGCCCCAAGGTTCAGCACTTACCACTAAGGAAGCGTTTCATCACTTCACTAGTAGCCAGTTTCATGGCTGTCTGCCCAGAATAGGTAGCAAGAGTGGGATCAGCACCATATGAGAGTAGAAGCCACATGGTTTCCAGGTTGTCGTTTGCCACTGCATCATGCACAGGCCTGGTGAGGGAAGAAAGTGTTAGCAAAAGATGAAGAGAGCTGAAGAGTTCATAAATCAAATAACCTACGTCCTGCCAGATGGCACTGCTGCCTCAAGCCAGCTTAACACCACTTCCTGAAAGACTCCCAACTCTGCTGCCCTGGCTCTACGATCTCCTGTCTTGCCCCCATCCTTCTGGGTTAACAGTGCTGAAAGCCACCTTGCCTTGTGCCATCCTGAGCACTGCAGTTCACATTGGCTCCATGTTCCAGCAGAATGTGCAGGATATCAATCCAGCCTCGTGCGCAGGCTTCATGCAAGGCAGTGTAGCCAGCATTATCACGGTGGTTCACATCACTGCTCTTCTTCTGGAGGCAGTATAGCACCACATCCTGGAGAAATAAACACCGGAGAGGCCTGGTTACAGATAAACCAAAAAGAAGGGGCCTGGGCCACTCAGACTTACAGTAGTGAACAAGGAGGAGACAGCAGTAATCTTCAGAGACATCCTCTGATCCAGCACTCACCTTGTAACCAAGCCGTGCCGCTCGCTGAAGGAGAGTCTCACCAGCGTTCTTGTTCACAATCAGCCGCCGAGCTTCAGGAGGGACATGCTGGGACACGGGTAGTTCAGAGGAGCTCTCTGGGCTGACCCGCTGTGACTTACAGAGTGACCAGAGCTCTGGGGACTTTTTCAAAGAGCGCAGCTTGGGCTGATTCCATCGCCCTTTCACCTAGAAAACAAAGGATGAAAGAAGCTTCTTCAGCATAGTTGGACAAGGCTGGCCACAGGAACCATTTGCCCTGCGCATGGTGAGCTGGCGGAGACAGACATAACATCTGAAGTGCTTCAAAAAGCAGTTGGTCTAATAAAAGGTATCATTTTGGAACCAAGAGTTCTAGTTTTTTGTACGTCTTTTTGTCACACAGCTACCAAATACACCCCTCAAAAAGCAGCTGCTCTTTGAAACACTTAAAAATGGACTGCTTCAGCTGCACACAGAGGTACAGCCTCTGTTGTGTTGGAGTGCTTGAAAATCGCTCCAGCTGCATGCAGCCGTGTCCTCTCCAGCCAGGGTGTGGCAGGGGGCTGCTGCACCCTGCAAGACCCCATCCATGAACACCGTGCAATGAAGCCTCCACTCTGCAGTGAAGCCTCCACTCTGCAATGGAGCCACCTGTCAGTGAGTGCTCTCTTCTGCATGCTGTTTCCACTTTACTGGAGCACCTCCCCCATGAACTGGGAGACAGGAACCTCAATGCCCCCACACCTACTCTTGGACTTTCTCAAGTCCTACATGGAGTGGGATGAGGGACACTGTGGGAGAGAAAATGCGGATCATGCAGGAGAGCACTCATTGATCAATGGCTCACTCAATTTCTGTGAGCACTCTGCAGCCCCAGCCTCTTGAGGGGAAGCAGAGCCCGCTGTCAGTGAGCAATCTCCATGCTCTCTCTGCCCTCTCTCCCAGAGCACCTTTTTCATCAAACCGAGAGAGAAACAGGGGACAAGAGGCCTCTGGTCTCCCAGTTGGGGGATTTACTTGTTCCAGTGGTGGTGTGGGGGAGTCAGGAGGCACGGAGACCAGAGACAGAGCACACAAGAGAGCACTCATTGACAGCCTGCCTTGCTCTTCTCACTTTCCTCTGGGCAAAGGAGGGGAGGAAGAAGCAGAGCATTGTGGGATGCTGAAAGACTAAGCCATTCTATCATGCTCCGCAGAGTGTGTACACGTAATAGGAAGTGTTTCAAAGTAATAAACTTCTGAATAGTAACAGTTTCCTCAAGGGTTATTTTTGGAGCCCTTCTGCCATTTTTAGAGTGCTGCAAAGGATGTGTACCCCTGCCTGCTTGCCCTTTGAAGTGCTTCAATTGTTATGTCTGTCCAGAGCCTTGATGAATCCTGTCCCTAGGCCTGAATCATACCTTCCCCTCCTCACAGAGCCCTGCCAGATGTTTGGTTTTGCATTTGCGTTTTCCTGATGGTTTCTCTAGTGCTTCCTGGATGGAGGAGTTGTCTGGGTGATCAAGAAGGAAGCCGTTTCGGAAATCTGGGCGCCCTTGGGACTTCAGAGAGGATGGAGAAAGCCTGCTTCTCAATCGCAGCCCTGTGCCTTTGCTTTGTACAGAGTCCTTCTGCTTTCGGTACCTGAAATCTAAGGGGAAATAGGAGTGAAGAGTCCATACGGTGCATAAACAAAGGCCAAGATCCCCATCTATGGGGCAAGAGCAGCCAGTTCCCACAAAACTTGATTCCAGAGCCATCAAAGTCATATTCAGTCAGTCTAGAAGCAGAGTACAGAAGAGTAAACATATACTGGCATGAGAGTAACACACTGAAAATAAAGAAACAGGATACATACTAGCTGAAAGTTCTACTGGTCTGAACAGGCCTTTCCCTGTACAGGTCTCTACTCTAAGCAGGTTTAGGGCTGGTTACTTACACGCTTGGTTACAACATTTTTCTAGATGTTGCCCAGTGGCTGAGAGAGCACAGAGGAGAAAAGAATGCAAGTTCTCATCTTATTGACATATTCTCCAGTAGCTGTACACACACACATGCTGGAAGAAAGGCGGCATTCCCTTCGTATCACCAAATAGTAACTGATACCTCCTCCAGAGCCATGTCTTGCACAGGCTTTTCAATGATCTCTCTTTTCCTTCCCACACAAGAAAGGAAGTTGTAAGCTAAAGTCCCTCAATGGAAATAAGAGTCCCCCCACCCTCCCCACCCCCCGCCACAAAAACCCTTTAGGGTAGCTTGTTATGTTTAATGGTTTGAAGTTGCACTTGTGTATAGTACTGTTTATATTTAGCCATTGCTTACGTTCTGCCCTTATTAACTTTTGTTTTTTATTATTAGCTGTCTGTGAGTTGTTTTTGTAGAGCTCATAGGTGCTCATTATATTATATCTTTTCTTTTTTTATCACTGTGAGAAGTTCTTTTAACATAACATAGCAATGGCCTTGTTACTAGCTCCAATTAACTGAACTTGGCACTAACCAGCTGAATCAGAGGGAAGAATGAATTGGATATATTAATGAAAGGTGATAAGGGAGACCAATGGACAATGCTCAAAGTAAGACACTGGAAAAAGGCCAAATTAAGAGGTGTGCTTGTGATGGGTTTGTTAGACAAAAAGAATATGCTGATGGATAAAAGATGAACAGTAAGTTGACTGCAGAGAGACCAATCCGAAAGCAAAGAGTCAAAGGAGCGAAGTTGAAGAAAAACGTAAAAAGGGGGAGCAAGAAAGTTTGTCATTGTCATAAATTCAGCCTTCAACATCTGTCTAGACTGTCCCAGCCCATGACGTACCCTTTACTTCCAGGAACTGAGTGGCCGTCTTTTCTGTTGAGCAAAGTAACATCTGGGATTGGGTGAGATTATTGTACTGAATGTTTTTCTCTCTCTGAATATAGAAATTGCCAAGATAACACTTGTTGTACTAATGAAGTTAGACTTTGATTTTTTAAGCCATTGAGTTGTCTGACACTGAGTTGTCTGCATTTTGATTTTAGGACACTGAGTTGTCCGAGACTTTGATTTTAAGACACCGAGTTGTCTGCATTTGTATTTCACATTCCATTTAAGGGTTAATTGTGCTTTAACGAACCCCAAGCACTATCTGGAGGACAGTAGGGGTGCTACCACCGCACCCCTCCCCTTGTAATACACAGAAATGCTGAGCTATTTGGCCCTTGACTCTTTTGTTCAGTTCAACATGACCATCCAGTGGCAAGAGCACAATGAGAATGGAAAATACTGAAACAGGATATGAGAAAATGGTGTTGAGGACAGAGAAATGTACAGGGCCTTTCCAGAGTAACAGATTAGCAGGGATTGATTAAAGCAAGCCACAGGGGAACAAAGTACTTTTCAGGCAAAAGAATGGATGCTGCCCAAGGAAACCACTGTCTAACTGACTGAGTAAGACTGAAATAGAGGAGAAGTCTGGGCATGATTTGGGGAGCCAGACTCCCATGTGTGCTCCCTCCCCAGCTTTGGGCACATCCCTTCACCTCTCTATCTCTCTTCTGAAGGGATTATATCACTTGCCATTCTCCCAGGGAAATGTGTGCACCATGCACAGCTGATAAAGGCTGTGTGTGGAGGTTTAAGTGATCAATACAGCAATCCCCATAAACAAAGAGTTCTTTCCCCATTAGGGACAGGGTAAGAAAGACTCAGCATACTTCCTAGAACACCAGGCAAGTTTTTCATAACTCCACAAACACCATTTTGTATCCCTGCATTACACAAAGAGGATGGTCCCTCAATATGGAAAAATACAACCGATTTCTACCATAAGGCTTATGCTATCAATGGGAGCTTGGTAGGAACTCTAACTTTCCTTGGTAAAACAGTTTTGGCCAACATTGCCAGGCAAAAGTGACATTTCTTGAAGAGAAGAAGGATATACAGGTTACTCATTCCAAAGTTATCTTGGCTGGCACTTCGGGCTTTTTATTATCCACATTCTGACTACCCACAATTTTAATTCCTGTAAATTCATGTAAACAAAGTCTTCTGGAGCACAGGTCGCCATTAACTATGTTAACAGCTGTTGGATTTAATTCTCAGGGAGATCATGAGTATGAGCAGTTTGCCCTTCAGTAGTTGGCCGCAACTTAGAAAATGTAAAGGTTTTCCTATACTTCACTGTAACAGAGTTTCTTTCGAGTGGGTTTGGAGGTTTTCTTAATAAATAAATGCTATTGTAGCAAAGAATTTGTTTTCAAAAATGCATCTAAAAATGGATACGCTATATGAGTTCTAGAGCTTTGAAAACTTATCCTAACTGGAGTTGGCTGGTAGTAGCACAATAATTCAGGCTGCAGTCAAGGTGTCATCTTTATATAGGAGACATAGAATCATAGAATCATAGAAATGAAGGGTTGGAAGGGACCTCAGAAGATCTTCAGGTCCAACCCCTCTGCTCTGGGGAGGAATACTGCTAAGATGAAATTATCCCAGCAAGGTGTCTGTCCAGTCTCCTCTTAAAGGCTTCCAGGGTTGGGGACTGCACCACCACCTTGGGAAGCCTATTCCAGATTCTGGTCACCCTTACCATAAAGAAGTTCTTCCTTATATCCAACTTGAAACCATCCCCCAACAGTTTATGGCCATTGCTCCTTGTCCTCCCCTGGGGCACCCTAGAGAACAGTTTTTCTCCGAGATCCCTATATTCACCCCTTATATACTTATACATGGCCACCAAGTCCCCGCTCAGTCTTCTCTTCCCCAGATTGAACAGTCCCAGATCCTATAGCCTTTCCTCATAAGGTTTGTCCTCCAGGCCCTTAACAATTCTTGTGGCCCTTCTCTGGACCCTGTCAAGATTCTCATCTTTTTTGTAGTGCAGCGTCCAAAACTGGACACAGTACTCCAGTGCCAAGTAGAGAGAAAGTGTCACTTCCTTAGCCCTACTCGTGACACATCGGCTAATGCATCCCAGTATGCTATTAACTCTGTTGACTACAGCTTTGCACTGGCAGCTCATGTTCATCCTGTGATCAACTATAACCCTGAGGTCCCTTTCAGCCATCACGCTGGCGAGGACATCTCCTCCTAACCTATATTCATGTCGCTGGTTACTTCTCCCCAGATGAAGCACTCTGCATTTATCCTCACAGAATTGTATCCGGTTCTGCTCCACCCACCTTTCCAGCTTGTCCAGGTCTACTTGGATCTGCATCCTATCCCCTAGTGTGACCGCTTTTCCCCATAACTTAGTATTGTCTGCAAACTTGGCCAGCATGCTTTCCACATCCTCATCTAAATAATTGATAAAGATGTTGAACAGGGCAGGACAAAGAACCAAAACCTGCGGGACACCACTGGCCACCTCCCACCAAGATGATACAGACCCATCCACTAACAGTCTCTGGGTTTGACCCCTTAGCCAGTTCCCAACCCACCTGACCATGGACTCTGCTTTTTTATAAGAGCGTCATGGGAGACCATATCGAAGGCCTTTTTAAAATCCAAGTACACGACATCAACCACATCTCCCACATTTAAGCGGTTTGTTACTTGATCATAGAAGGAGATGAGGTTGGTCAGACATGACCTGCCTGCAATAAAATCACGTTGGCTATCCTTCAGCATCATGCCTTCTGCCAGTTTCTCTCTCTCCTTATGTTGGAAGGAAAAATATGCTCCTATTACTTTCAGGTAAAGCCCTGTACCCCATGCTGCATATTAGACTCAATGACCATATTTACCTGAATCCAAGACAATTTCAAATTTTAGACAACCCCCCAGTAATTATAGTTTTCCCTGTATAGAATATAATTAATGGAGGGTCATCTTAAATTTTTCCCACCCACTGTTGTGATAGGGGAAGCAGC